CTTGACAGAGCTCAACCACATTGCAACCTGTGGGGTCGCCAAAATGACTAGATTTTACACAGTGGCAAGTAACTTTTTGTGCTCAGTCACCAGCTGGCCACTAAGATTTTTCACATTTGTATTTTCAATTTCCTTACATCCCTAGTGAGTTTCTCATTTGCAGTTGCAAAACTTTCTGGAAAATTTTTGGGGACTGGAAAATTGATGCTCGAAACCAAATCTTAAAAAATTTAGCAGCCATCTGGCCTCAAGGTTTATTTTGAAAGTCTGAAGCCCTGTCTAGCCTGAGTCACTAATTAGGGCCATACACAAGGTATGCTAATGCAAATTAACAAAATAAGAACTTCCTCAAGAGCGACATATACAACACACGTAGTTAGCTTTGTCTTCAACATAGTCACACAATGTATGTATCCACACTGCACAGTTACTGCACTCCACCCAGTCAACTAAGCCTGCGTCACTACCAGGGTCATCTTCCTTAAAGCAGAAAGCGCATACCTCTGAATCAACTTTATTTCATTTCTCTAATGTAGATTGAGAAATTACAGGTTTTTTCTTTTGGAGTTTTCATTTTTTTTTTTTGTGGAAAAGAAACGCTGTTGTTTCTCTACAATCTTATTTGAAGGGTAGATTTTAGTTTTTAGATATTGATGATCATTGCCAACCACAGCAAGTCCTCTTCCCACTGATACTGCGGAAGGAACGTGATGGAGACCTGCGTGAATGGCTTTCAACCGATTTATTGTCTCAAAATCCGTTTTTTCTCGCTATTGATGATGATGAAAAAAAAAAAACCTCTGAAGTACTACTATAATGTACTCCTTCAATGGTCTATATTGGCTCTAGTCTCAAGTCAAATTTTGCAGATCATTGAAGTTTTGAACGTTACGAGTCCTGACCCCTGCTTTAATTTACCGGCGCAGTGCTCTACCATTCCAGCTATTAAGCCAACTGGGATCTGGACATTTAAGTGAGTTCTCAAATATAGTCCCGCAGATGATGTTTCAGTTAGTGAAAGCGTTACATCAATCCCGCAATAGTAATTTCCGGTCACGACGGGATTATCTGCAAAGATTTTTTCAGCCTTTGTGACTCCTGTTTCGAATTAAAGTGAAGTTGGTTTGTCTCCTTTCAAGAGCTAATATGTAGCTCCAAATGAAAAAAAAAATTACTCACCGTAAGTAGGTAGAAGATCGTCGAAGGGTTAATTTATCCGATATCATGTCTTGAAATGAATCAATAGTTGTTGCGGATATCTCGCGCTTAGTTTTTGGCTGATGAAAGCCTTTCGGAAACCACTCCATCTCCGCCTTGAAGGCGTGAGGCATTTGTCTTCTGCGAATTGCTTAGAAGGATTCATTTCCATTAGATCAACAGTGAAAAATTCGGGATCATTCAAGGGTATCGAACCGCTTTGTCTTATTCAGGAATTTTACTTTCCCGCAATTTGGCTTTGTCAAGCAGGTGCACTTATGGTGACTAGGTACCAACTCCCTCTGAGTTATTTCTTGGTGTCCAGTCTATTCTCGGCTTGGGTGACGCGCTGTCTCTAATGGCATGTCCTGGCGCAGCCACGAAAAGTTAACTGACTTGTGGCGGCTGTGGCCAATAAATAAATCAGGTACAATCCTTTTGAGCTACCAACGGCGTAGAATTGTGGCATACTCGGCGTACGTTTTCAAAGCCCTCGGCGTAACTTCGGCGTGGGGTCTATGCAGAATGCACCCTGGCGTGCATGAAATGCCTACGATGGAGTCAGACGTGAATGTT